AAACTAAAAAAAAAAAAAAAAAAGACCGTACCCTTTAGTAATGAGGTTTACTTTGAATTTATATTAGTCACACAAACACTCCATCCATGCTTTGTTACGGCCTCTGGTCCAGTTTAAGAACCCATTGTGGCCCTCGAGTCAAAAAGTTTGCCCACCGCTGCCTAGCCACTGAGCCAAACTGGTCAAGGCACGTTTTGAACACTTTTTAATGCAATTGTTTTATTTTTCAGTACCCTATTATATAAGCATTGAGATTTTCCAAACATATAAATTATAAAAATATTATATCTGTCACTTTAAGAGCAGGCAAACAAAAAGGGAGCAAAGAGTCCAACACATATTCCAGTGCCTTGTGGCCAGAAGGACACCTGGAGTACACGGCTGCTGGGGGCGGGGGGGAGACCTAACCCTGGGTTTGGTTTCCCCAGGAGACCAAACCCTGACCTTGTTAGCCCAGTTCTTATATTAAGATTTCTCTGAACAGCCAACACCCTTAGACTATGGAAAATAAGAACTTCATTTTTAAAATTCTAATTTTATAACAACATAAAACTAAGCACAATTGTATATTATATCTTTTTTTTTTCAGATTCTTCACTTAAAATAGACTTTGAAGACAGGGAACAAAGAATTGCCATTGTTCTATAGTTTTAGTTTCAGAGTGCTAATTCTGCCTCCGTTCTTTTTATCCCAATTTCTAAGTTTCCATAAATGGAAACTTTTAATATAGTCAGTCTACCCTGAGTGCAAAAGAAGATGTCTTTGAGAACAGATGTCTTTGTTGATGTCACCATTCCACAAACATCCTGTTCCAGTGAACTTGTCCTGGGATGTCCAATAATTTGCCTAAACTAGTCAATGGAGATTTCTATTACTAAAGCTATAAGTCATTCTCCAAGGGATTCCCATTCATAAAAGAAAAATATTTGATTTTTTTCTTTATAAGAAACTAATTTTCTCATAGACAAAATTATTTAATATGTAAAAAAGCATTTAGAATATTTTTTAAGTATTCCAAGGAGCATAGCATCCTTAGAGGTGATTTTTCTGAACCATGGTTTGGATTCAAAGATCTTCTATGTCTTCTCAAATAAAATGAATTTTCGCTCACGAATGCCACATATTTTTTAAATACATACATTGTTATTGCTAGACAATGCCTTAGAGAGAATGTTGGTATAGAGTGCTGAGAGATTCAAAGAGAACAGGAATTTGAAAATATTTTATATCATTAACTTCACTTTTTTCTAATTATTCTTCTTTCAAGTACTTATAATCTGCTATCTAGTCATAACAAAATTGTCTCTGTAACTAGAACTTTTATAGTTTTTGTGACCTTGAGTAGTTGTGATATTGACTTCTATAAACTATATTTAGAGTATACTATCTAACCATTATAATTCATATATTCATTCATTCACTCCCCCATTCAAAAGTATTTTAATGCCAGCTATGTATAAGGTGCTATGAACACTTGGAGTGCGGGAAACGAGTTAGGTCGGCTCGCGTGAATTGCGCGTACTCCGCGGGAGCCGTCTTAACTCGGTTCATATAGATTTGCGGTGGAGTGCGGGAAACATGTAAACTCGGGCCGATTGTAACTGCGTATTACCAAATATTTGTTTGTTTGCCGTTCACAAAGATACCTACCTGCGTATGCGAACCGTTTCATACCCATTGGGGTAATAGGTATCATAAAAATCCCTTGTAAGTAGAGAACACTTTATGGCGCTGGTCGAGTACAATACCGTTAGGGTACCAATGTATTGTTTTCTCATTTTATAACCGATATCCCTGGATATCTCACCATGCAAAGAGAATAGTTATTGAGAAATACTTCTTGTGTCCGGACGTCTTTAGTTTTGAGTTTTGTGAATATTATTACGTGTTTAAACTAACTCTGATTTTGCGCGGGAAACCTAAATAATTGCCCGCGCCATCTTATATTTTGGCGGGAAATTCACCCGACACCGTAGTGTGAATATGATGACTGACAAAAGACTCTTTGCTCAGAAAGCTTATAGTCTATTAATTGAGGTAATATTTGCAAATAAATAACAAATATAAAAAGTAACAGGGATTCTAAGGTAGGTACAGTCAACAGCTATGGGAGTTCAAAGATGGGCAATTGTGATATTGTGATTTATAATAAGAAACATGTATTTGGTCTTCTTCCATTGTTCCTGGCATAGAGCTTCTAAAAGATGTTTCTTGCTATGTGAATAAGGTGACTTTAGGAACTCACCTAAGGATGGGGGTTGGTTGTCAGGAGAACCAACATGTGATTAGAGGGTTGGAACTTTCAGTCCCATCCCCTTGTCTTCTTTGTAGTAGGAAGAGGCTGGAGGTTGAATCAGTCCCCAATGGCCAATGTCTTAATCACTCATGCCTGGGAAGCCTCCATAGAAGCCCCAAAGGATGGAGTTGGGAGAGTTCCGGATTGGTGAACATGTGGAGGTGCTGGAAGTGGTGCACCAGGACAAGGCATGGAGGCTCTGCTCCTTTCCCATACCCTGCCCTACACATCTGTTCTGGCTGTTTCTGAGTTAAATAGATACTTTTGTAATAAACCAGTAATCTAGTAAGTAAAATGCTTCCCTGAGTTCTGTGAGCTGCTCTAGTAAATTAACGGAACATGAGAAAGGGGTCCGGGAACCTCTGATTTATATAGCCAGTGAGACAGAAGTACTGACCTAGATTTCCCATTGGCATCCTGCCTTGGAGGGGTCATTGGAACCTACAGTTTGTAGCCAGTTATCAGAACACAGGTAATAATCTGGGATTGAGACTGGCATGGGGGGGGGAGGGGGGAGCAGTCCCGTGACCTGTGGAATCTGGTGCTATCTCTAGGTAGATAGTGTCAGAATTGAGTCAGAGTCAAGGTACTGTTTGTTGAGGTGGTTGGGAAACCCCACAGACACACTAAAGAATACAAGTATTATCCTTAAATTTCTGAATTCCCATAAAACTCAGTGGTGCCACACCATGTTGCAGTGCTTTTCAGCCTTTTAAAAAATGAAATAGAACAGAGAGTAGGATAGACAATATCAGAGTAAATTGCATGTGGAAACTACGGTTTCAAGAAAGTTTTCTGTGTGTGTGTTTCAGAGATCACAACATAAAATTATATGTTGCTGTGACTCAAAGTCAATATACCCTCTGGCATTGTCCATGTTATCCTAGTCCCTTATCTGGCTCTGTCACAGCTCTTCAAAGCCAGCATTGAATTATCCTTCTGTGGTGTTATGATTTCTTCTACATATGATTTCTATTTACAATGGAAGCCTTATACAAATAAACACCAAAATTCAATATTTTTGTATTTTCTTACAGATCAACATCCCTTCACTTCTCTCAGTATGCCTGGGCTCGCTCTGAAGTGCATTCCTACAGGGCTCTGGGCTGCTTTTTTTAAAAACTTATCTTTATTGTTGAAAGTATTACAGATGTCCCCCTTTTATATATATATTCTTTTTTATTGATTTCAGAGAGGAAGGGAAAGGGAGAAAGAGATAGAAACATCAATGATGAGAGAGAACATTGATCAGCTACCTACTGCACAAGCCCTACTAGGGATCAAGCCTGCAACCTGGGAATCCAACCGTGACCTCCTGGTTCAAAGGTCAACGCTCAGCCACTGAACCATGCCAGTTGGGCCAGATGTCCCCTTTGGGGGTGGGGAGTGGCTGCTTTTAAGTTAAAGTAAGGGGCAGGGGAATATCCATCCCAGGTAGGATGCTAAAATAAAATGTAGCTGGTTTGGCTCAATGGATTGAGCGTCGGCTTGAGCACTGAAGAGTCTCAGGTTCGATTTCGGTCAAGGGCACATTTAAAATGTTGGGTTTTTTTAAATTTATGTTAACTCCTTTCGTTTTCTTTTTGTTTTTGCCCTCTCTCTCTCAGCTGCCTGCCTTGTGCTTGGCTGTATGATCTTCCCCGATGGCTGGGATTCAGAAGAAGTAAAACGGATGTGTGGAGAAAAGACAGACAAGTACACCCTCGGGGCTTGCTCTGTCCGCTGGGCGTACATCCTGGCTATTATTGGGATCCTGGATGCCCTGATCCTCTCGTTTCTGGCATTTGTGCTTGGTAACCGACAAGACAGCTTGATGGCTGAGGAACTGAAGGCTGAAAACAAAGGTAAGATTGTATCTGAAGGATTAAAATCAGTAGCGGTATCAAATCAGATTTAATAGAGTAGCAGAGAGTATCAGACCACACTGGTGAAGCATTCAATTGTGCCACACTTTTATTCATAACTAGAATTCCTTTACCTGGAACTCTGTAAGATACCAGTAGCTCTACTCTGCAGGCAGCTCAGATCTTTGTACAATAGGCTCTGTATACAATGAGACCAGAATCCTAAGCCTTGAAGAAAATCAAACATGCATGTTTCTGAGAAATGGTGTAAGATTTATAGTTGCTGTGCAAAGTAGTGTTTATTATTTGGTATTATATAAACGCTTGTTCCATGTTGAAACTTCCAAAGTTAGATTGCTTGAGGGAAGACCAATCAGTGATTTTGTATGTTTTTGCATGAACATAGTTTCACTAAACAGTAATTTTATGACTTTCAAGTGCATGCGATAACCCAAACTAAATACCATTAATCTATAGATTATAAGGGAGGAAATAGCTGATAAAATAAGAATAATTTGTAATTATGAAATTGATTATAAATGGGTGTGTTTACGATTTGTGTGGATATAGTAATATAACTTTTAACTTATTAAAACATACTTTTTCACTATTAATTTTTTCTGATAAAACTACAAAGATATCCCTTGGTCATCAAAGCCCCTTTTGGGTTCCAAGGCAATGCAATGAGACAGAGGCAAATCAAACTCACAAAATTTTATAAGAGTTTTGTAACTCCATCATGCCTTCTGGTATCATGGAAGCAAATAATACCATATCTCAAGCCTTGACGCAAAAGAGTAAAACATCATGCATTCTTATATACATTATATCACCATACACTCTGTATTATCTTTTATAGTCTTCCAGTTTTATGGTCTGTTGATCATCCTAGCAACTTATCCTATATAATAAAAGACTAATATGCAAATAGACCTAATGGTGGAACGACGGTTCGGCGGGGGGCAGGGCCGGTGAGCAGGCGGTGCCAGGCCAGCCAAGGTGCATGCCAGAGGGCAGAGGGAGGGGTCGGCGATGGGGGAGAGGGGCAGCGGCAACCAGTGGAGGCGAAGGGGCGATGGGGGGGCAGGGCCAGCCACTTGCCAGCCGGCACCATCCCCTGATCGCCTGCCTGGTTGCCTCCCGCAAAGGGAGGCCAGACTGCAGCTTAGGCCCGATCCCTGCATCAGTCAGACATCCCCTGAGGGCTCCCAGACTGTGTGAGGGCACAGGCCAGGCTGAGGGACACCCCTCACCCCTTCAGTGCATGAATTTTCGTGCTCTGGACCTCTAGTATCCTATAATAAGTAACAGAAACAACATAGAGAGAATAAACCTACAAATATTGCGTATTCCCCTGATTCAAAGAAGTTTGTCTTAAGTGGTCTCACGTCCTAAGTGGTCTCATGTCATGATCATATATTCTTTTTGTGGTTTTTATAATTAATGTAGCAACAACATACTTCCCCATTTGTCTGAAGAAGCCACCAAATGGGTTCAGATTTCCCATATGTCATTGCAAGGATATTGCTTAGGTTGATGAGTCCTTCCCAACAACCACCCAATGGACAAAACAAGAGTCACTGTTACATGAATTCCAGAATATACTAAAGAAGGGAAGAGAACACAGTTCTAATTGAACAATTTTCCACTCAGAGTGTTAAAATGAAAGGGAATATAGGGTACCGCTGAGCCATAAATTAACCATCACAGAGGTGCTCTTCAAAGGGAAAATGAGGGGGAGGTACACTGTGAATGACTCCATCTATATAGACCACTAGACCACTGCTCCTTAAGATAAATTCCCAGTCAACTCACCCCAAGACCATTTCAGTGTCCCCCTTCAACACCTCCCACAACATTCTTTAAGCCCTCCTTTTCCAGGAGTGCAAAGTTAAATTAAAAGAGGTCTTTAGCTGAAATGTATCCTAAAATGTGAAATGGCAAAATTGGAATGAGTTTGAACATACAACAGAAAGCAACAATTTTGATGATGCAGTGTTGTTTTAGAAGGAACTTCTGTAAGAGATAAAGTTAATAATCTATGATGCTCCTTCAAGTCCCAGAATATTTTCTCATAAAAGAAAAAACACTGAAAAACAAAGAGAAGTGAAAACTCTAAATATCCAACTAACTTTATGTAGGAGCTTATGTATGCAAACTCTACTGCCGACTCTGAGTTTGGGGAGTCACCCTGCAGGCTGTGTGCTGTCCCTGGCTCTGGGGATAACAGTGGACAGGCAGGTGTTCATTCTTGTTTGGGAGTTCGGCAGCATGATTTCTAAATGAACCAACCACAGTAGGCATTTAACCCTGATATGCTGCTTAATTGCATATTTTAACACACTGAACTGTGAAGTCAATTTAATTATGTAAAATTAAAGTTTCATCCAGATACAAAGGGTTTGAAATGAAAGCTCTATTTTCAACTTCTTGCGTTAGTTGTAAAAGGGTAAATAATTACATTCTCCATAGCTTCTGCGCCACAAGTATCTCTTACCTTGTCAGACACCACTTTTAAAGAGGTCTGTTCTTCACTTGTGTATGTGGTCTCTGGAATTGTTATCAGATCACTGGGACTCTCCCAGCCATTTTAAAGTCACTTTGTCTTCTGGTACTTGCACTGCAAATGAGAAAACATGATTATCCATCAAGAGGTGACTCCAGCTACCGTTTATTTATTAAGTGGCTTAAGCTCTTCTTAATGCTCTAATAAAGGGAGTTAGGATAAATTTATTTTATTTAACTAAGTGAGAAAGGCTTCGGAATTTGTGCCGTGCCAGGCCAGGCCCCCACGGTGAGCGGCAGCGTGGTGTAGTGGGAAGAGCTTGCAACCACCCAGAGCTAGTGCTCTCTCTCTGACAGCCCTGAGGAGCCTTGCAACTTGCACCACATCTTACTAGCCCAGAATTAAGCTCCCTCAGTGCAGGCTGTCTAAATGGCATCTGGGGCTTCTCCCAGCAGTAAAATATTTCAATTTGGGGAATACCTTCAAAGGTGTCCTTTGAGTACACTTCGAGGGTGGAAAGAGCTCCTACCCTCGGAGCAGTGAACACACTAAAGGCTTTTTTGGGACTTGTTAGCAATGCATGGGTGACTAGGGAAGGGAAAGATAAAGATCAAGTGGAAGTCTGTCTAGAGTTTCTCCCTCAACCATATACCTACCCACGGAACCGTGCTGTCACAGCCCCATTCACTCACATCACCAAGAGTAAAATGAGCCCAGCCGCAGTGGCTCAGTGGTTGAGCATTGACCTATGAACCATGAGGTCACAATTCGATTCCTGGTGAGGGCACATGCCTGGATAGTGGGCTTGATCTCCAATGGGGGCCATGCAGGAGGCAGCCTATCAATAATTCTCTCTCATCATTGATGTTTCTATCTCTCCCATTCCCTTCCTCTCTGAAATGAATAAAAATATTTTTTGGGTCCTGGCTGGTTTGTCTCAGTGGATAGAACGTCAGCCTGCGGACTGAAAGTTCATGGGTTCGATTCCAGTCAAGGGCACATGCTGGGTTGTAGGCTTGATCCCCAGTAGGGGGCATGCAGGAAGCAGCCAATCAGTGATTGTCATTGCTGATATTTCTAACTCTCTCTCTCCCTCTCCCTTCCTCTCTAACATCAATAAAAATATATTTAAAATATATTGGGGGGCGGGGAGTAAAATTAGTCAAATTTAGAAACTCTGACCCACAGCAGAGGAGCCTCCTTGCCTCACTAGATTCTCATACCATGTGGTGTCCATGTGGACACCTTGACAGTGAATGGAGCCCCAGATTAGAGATAAAAACTTTGTTTCTGATCTCAACTCCAGCACATATGAGTCACATGACTTTGAGCAAGTCCCTTAACATCTCAGAGCCTCTTCACCATCTTTAAAATGGGAAGAATAATAATACCAAGTCCTGCTTCCTCCATAGGGTTGGAAGAGTCCAACAAAAGCATGTGTGTGGGAGCAATATATAGTCAATATGTATATAGGCTTTACATTTATTTCATCTAACCCACGATATATTTTAACTCTTTTTTCTTGTTGTCTACCTTCCCCCAGTAAAGCTTTACAATGGCAGGGATCTATGCCTCTTTTGTTCACTACTGCTAGAACAGCGATTTCCAACCTTTTTCATCTCATGGCACACATAAACTAATTAATAAAGTCTTGTGGCAAGTATAATATATTTTTGGCAATCTGACTCCCCAAAAAAGGTATGAGTTTGATTCATTCACAACAGATGGCTATTGTTGTGTTGGCTGTTGTCATTTTTTTTACTTGACAATCTAAGGGGAAAGACCCTCAATACCTTCTTCTGATCCTTCTCCAATTAGTGGACTTAAAGTCAAATGTGGTTTAGGAATGTGAGGGCAAAGGCAGTGCTGAATCTGAATGGCTGTCACATGCTCTATTATCCACTCTACTTCAATGGCCAAAGTAGTTTTGACATTTCAATGATCTTTTCAGTCCTTGAGATGAGGATTGATCTTTTCAGTCCTTGAGAAGGGATCTCTGGGTAAATATCAAACCAGCTAGAAGAAAGCAAGGAGGGAGGAATAAAAAATAAAAAAACCTTATACAACAAAGTCATGATGTTCAAGACTTAGCCCTACCAGTAAATTTTCAATCAGTCCTACCAATAAAAATAGTCAGGTATTGCATGTTTAAAAATTTTTTTGTAGCATACCAATTGAAAACCACTGTCCTAGAATAATGCCTGGCATGTGTGGGAGCTCAATAATGATGTGTTGAATGAGTGAATTATTGAATGAATGAATGAGTCTATTCTAATGTTTTTCTCATAAGGTCATTTCATTGTTGCACAGATCTTAGAAAGTTCTTGTTTCCTTTAAGTTGAAATATGCCTGCTTTTAATGTCCACTCATTGCTACTCCCTCTTCTACCTTAAGCTATTGACTTCTTTAGAAACAGATATTGTATCTATAATGGTTAGTTACACATTTATCTTGCTGGGCATCTGGGACCCCCCGTGTTGTCAGTATTGTCTAC